TTGTTTTCAGTGTTGTTTCTTCATCTCTCTTGGCTGAGCAAGTCAATCATCTGGAACTCTAGGTTGTGAGATTGTCTCCTCAAGTATCAGCTCCAGAAAGCAGCAACAGCAGAAACCATCACAACATGTTCTAATCCATGAGAAATATAGAATCTGGATGCTTAATTTTAATCCCTTGAGAAGTTAAACAGAAATTTAGTCAGACTGATTAAAAGTCAGCTTTGGATTTAAGGCTGTAAAGCTGTGCATGAGACGCGACAGCAAATATCGAAGAAATGACAAGCAACATCAGAACTAGAAATGACGAGCAACACAAGAACGTCGTGGCAAGCAACACCAGACGTGACAAGTCATGAGAAAATTGACATTACGAACAGACAAAAAATTAGATCATATATATATACATATATATATATATATATAATATAATATAATATAAAAAATTACATAATAATATCAATATAATAAAATTAATTTTTAAAAATAATTATAAAAAATCTAATATATATTCTTTTTGGAGTCTCATCATTTTCTATGATATAATGTCTCAGAAGATAGGATATTAATCCTATCATTAACCCTCTCAAATACAAGTAGGCCATACATCTTAAAAATATATATAATGAAGGGACCGTTGATAAAATAATGTAAAAGATGACATAATTCAGAAAAAGATTGTAATATAAATAGTATGATACCATCCGAAAGGAAGAATAAATTTGATCACTAGGAAATGTAAGATTATAATACATATAATAAAAGATATATATTTCAAAATTGTAGTATAAATAAAGTAAATAAAGTCACTAATAAATAAATAAAATATGAAAAGCTATAATTATAAGATATTTGTGTTGATTTATAAAAAATTAACATCTAAGATAGACATATAAATTATTCATCATCAGTTAAACGTCACATTTGATTTTTATTTGAGTATAATTATTTACTTGAGACGAATAATACTTCTTCTCTTTCAAAAAAATCATTGAACGGATCCCGAGGCAAAACTCACTAGAAACGAAAAATATACAATGCATGCTTTTTTTTTTGTTTATATAACAATGAGTTACATTATAAAGTAATTTTGTACTATATATAAGAAAATTATCTTATATTCTTTATATGATCTTAGTCTAATAAGAAATAAGTGATGACTATATTTGATAACTCAAATTTATGATGTCATACATATATATATAATAAATGATATATTCAAAATTTGACAAATCCTCGAATTAAAGTTTTGATGAGCATAAAGCTATAGAAGTATCTAAGAACTTATTGACCCAAAAGATGATACTATTTTTTATATAATCTTTAAGATTGAAAGTATATATGGACAAATTAAGAGAATGGATTCCACCGGAGGAGAATAATTATCTCGACATGACAAAAGATATGACGCCCCTTAAACCATTACACTATTATCGATAATCAACAGTTTGGCTTGAAAAGATTTTGACATTTATAATAGTAAATACCTTGTTATTTTGTTGCTTATGTATTTTAATTATTATCAATAGATGTAGAAAAATTAATAAGATATATCATTTTATTTTATCTATTAGTACCTCCAGGTGATTTATGACATTATGATCCCACCATATAATACATGTTTTAAGATTAAAAAATAGTTTTATTAGAAGATGAGGATTTCTTTAAGAAACACAAAAGGTAAATTGTATAAGATAATATTATCTTCAGACGTATAATTTTTGAAAGTATAAAAATTAGTATATTAAAAATAATATATAATTATCTCCAGAGTAATATATGTGTATATTGTCAAAGTACTGTTTGGTAAGTTAGACAGTGACATAGTCGAGAAGGATAAAGAGCCTCAGCTACAGGCCCAATATTGGCCCAACAAGTAGCCCATTAGTTTTCAGTTGTAAAGGGCGAACGTGAGCGTTGATTTGGATCACCAACCTCTCGATGGCCGTGGCAAATAGAGTCATTCCCCACGGATTGGTGACGTGCCCTTCTATTTTCATTTTTTATAGAATCCCGCCTCACTGCAACTGTGCCGCATCGTTTCCCCCCTTCCGAACCTTAACCCTAACATCGAGGTAAGAAATCGCTTTCCGTCTCGCCCCGTTCGATCTCGTTTCTTCGGCTTTCTCACCGGATCGATCGCGTCGCTTGCAGCTCTACACCATGAGAGGAGGCAAATCGAAGGCCGCGGCGTCGAGAAAGGATGGCGACAAGTGAGCCCGCCCCTTCTCTTCTCTTGTCGTTGTTGTCGTTTAGGCCGGTTTTCGGGTTTCCTATTAGAGATCTTGATATTGTGTGCCTGTGTGGGTGATCTTTTGTAGGGTCGCCGGCAAGAGGAAGGCCGCCGGTGACGAGGACAAGAAAGCGAAGAGAGGGAAGGTTGGCAAGGACGCGAACAAGCCAAAGAGGCCTCCGAGTGCCTTCTTTGTGTTCATGTAATTTTCCCGAGGCTTGCTACCACTTTTATGCCTATTTACCCCTGTTGAAGGTCATTCTATGGTGCTCTGTTTTAATAGGGAGGAGTTTAGGAAGACGTTCAAGGAGAAACACCCTGACAACAAGAAAGTGTCCGTTGTAAGCTTACTTCTGTCCTAGATTACTATCCATCGTCTCAAAGTCGACGTTTTACAGATTTTTATTTTATTTTGTTTTTAGCTTTTTGCAGATTACTCTGCCTGATTGCTGAAATGCGTTCTTATGATTTTAGGTTAGCAAAGCTGGTGGCAACAACTGGAAGTCCATGTCTGAGGCCGTAAGCTTTCTCTCTCAGTTGAACATGGCCTCTACATTTTACCTTTTAATTCTTATGTTTGGAATTTTTTTTCTCACAGTTCAATAATTTTTTTTTAATGTTCATCTGTGTTCTTCAAAAATTCAGGAGAAGGCTCCATATGTAGATAAGGCGGCCAAGCGGAAGGCAGAATACGAGAAGAGCATGGTATTATACAACAAGAAGCAGGTATGTCTATTTTTCTTCTAATAATTCATGTCCTTTTTTTGGTTTCACCTGTTTAGTTTATGAATGTCACAGTTGTGGAGACTTACTAATGCTTTATCTGTTCATTTGATATTGGTTATTTTTCTGTTTTTTGCATTAGTCTGAGGAAGTGGAAGCAGAGGGTTCTGACAAGTCTAAGTCTGAGGTGGATGATGAAGAAGATGGAGATGGAGATGGAGAGGTGATTTTTTCCCTACACTAATGTTTATGATTTCTGTAATTTGGCGTATATGGTTCTTGTCATTGTATTCTTTCCCTAAACTTATTACAGGAAGAAGAGGATGAGGAGTAAAATTGGCAGCAATGTGATCTGTGGAAGGGCCCTTCTCTTTTCTTTCTAGTTGTGAAAAAAGGGATAGTTCTAGAAATCAAATGCTGTTGTGGCTTGTCCATGCACTGGAAAGGAAACCATATAGCCCTTTGGTCTTTTAGAGGCTCCTCTAACCCTTTTTTCTTATCTTTTTTGTGAAAATACTAGTAATGGAATATCGACTTTTTCTTGTATCGTGTGTTTCTTCACTGTCTCTTTTTGTTGTTCGTGATGGTAGTTTGTGCTTTCAAATGTTTAGAGCATT